ACCTGAGATCAAAATGATTGGCATTTGAAAACAACATTTTTTAAAGTTATTTGAATAGAATCAAATTAGAACAACATCCAATGAATTGGAATGCCTCCTTGTTCATGAATGGTATATAGAACAAAATGATGCTCTATGTATCTTTTAGTTAAGTAATTTGTCTGACCTTAACAACATCGAAAAAAAAAGTTATAAAACCTTGCAATATGTTATCAAAAGCAGTGTTACATATCTGCAATTACTATAAGAATCGACATCCATATTGGGCAAATGAGTGAAATTCTAAGCTGATGTTACCTATTGCCTTGGAAATATCATAACTATTATCATGTTAGTTGTGTATCAGGGTCTCAGGTTGTATATCAGGTGTTATGAGAAACGTTATTAAAGTCAATAAAACTTGATTTTGTAATACTATGTGTCTGGGAAATATAGTTATAAAAGCAATTTTAATATATTTTATCATTTTCAATTGAAATGTAAATTTTTAAAAGATTTCCTTCAACCAAATTCTGGTTACGCATAATTTTATAATTTTTTTAAAAATTCTATTATGTCAAACAACTTTTTTTTTTTAATTTTTATAGTAGTAATTTTTTTAAATTATTGAATTCAAGTACTGAAATAATGAATTAATGTTTTTTCTATTAAATTTATAAATGGATCTAAATTTAAGTGATGGAATTATTTTCATTAGGTAATAGTTTGCCAAAGACTTTGTGCCTTTCGCAAATTAGGAGATGTGTAGATAAATTTTGATTTACAAATATACATATATATTACCGAAGTCAAGCATCATTGGGCGCGGTCAGTACTTGGGTGGGTAACCACATGGGAACACCGAGTGCCGTTGGCATTCACAAATTTGGGACCTGAATGGCGAGTGTCTGGCGCACGGTGCCACAGGTTTCGGGTTCGAATCCCGGCGGTGCCATGGATGTTTGTAGTGGTTCGGAATACACTTTAAGCTGTAGGTCCCAGTCTCCTATGATTGTAAGAGCGTCACGGAGCCAATGTCAGACTTCTACATACGGGTGCTCCATCACAACTGAAGCTGCTTCCTTCCCCTTCAATCATGAGTACGTATGGGCTCATGGGTTTGGCCAGCCAAGTGGGATAAGAAACAACAAACAACAACACATATATATTAATTCAAAGTTCTGTTTTGATTTTAATGATATTTTAAATAACAAAAACATACGTATTCAAAAAGAAATATTGTTAATGCAATTATATAAATTAAAATACTTCGAAGGGAAATTTTCTAAATAATCTGTGTCTAATGTATGTCTCTTTTGGCTCCATTACGCATATAAATGATGTTTCTAATAACACCATGCATATACAAGCCAAAATAGTTAAACTCAAGACGAAAGTGAGCCATTAATCTTACTTGTAAGAAAGTTAGAAATTTTTAATTAATTCTTATTTGGATTCCCTTTCACTCCTCATAAATCTAACACTTTTATTTTAGCAGCTCTGAAGAGGCTGAAAAGTGTTGGTTACACACTCATATTTCTTTTAAATGGTTTCTTTGGGAATAAGTTATGATGATAATCAATTGTGCAGAGGATGCGATGAGATGCATTAAAAATTAAATTTTATTTAAATAAAAAAAATGAAATTTTTGAATATTTATTTAATATAAAATTTTTATTAGGCACATACTTTGTTTATTTCACTATTCATAAATAAGGGCTATAATGGCTTAAATCAAACTGTACAGATTTTTGGACTAAATGGTCATGTTTCTAGTTCTATATTTGTCAGTTATGATTTAGATTTTATGTTGACATACTGTGTAACACTGAATTTTCCACTGAACTTTCATATCTCTTGTGTCATATATATGGGAAAAAATATCAACTGTAAAAGTGATCTAAATATAAAAATCTAAAATTGGGGGGAAATGTATTGATGCTAAATGAAAAAAAAATTAGTTAAAGAAGAAAAAAAGCAGCAGAATTTTTACTTTTTTAATGTATCTTTTTTTCTCTCTCTACAAATAAGTTAAAATGTATCGCAGGACTATACGAAGTTTCTTTTCTACACATATAAATTAATCACAGTTCAGTTAAATAATGAATTAACAAAAAAATTTGATTAGCCTAGATTCTAATAATCATAAATTTTAAAATTCTAAATATTACTATCTACCTAATCGAAGATGATTTTCCTAATTTAATTTTAAAAATTAAAGTCCCAGGTTCCTTTTACAGTATTATACTTATGCAGAAAATACATTTTTGCTTTGATTGTTTGCAAGCCATGTCTTCAATACGATATTCGCTGAGAGCTTAGAGAATTTTTCTAACGTTGTTTCAAGTTCTGAGTAAAGCATTTGCCTAATTCTGGCCCACAAATTACATTGCTAAAATCATGATATTTAATTAAGATTGTTAAATTTGTTTATCAATTAATTTTTAATTTGTTCAATGTCTTTTATATTGAACAATCCATATCTCTAAACCACTTATTTTGTGTACAATAATAATTCTAAGAAGTTACGGGGAAAAAAATATTAATATATATTGATAAAATCACTGCATTTATTGATTAAAAATTGCAAAATAAACAAAATAATACACAAATTTAGTAGCGAACTTTTATATCATTAACGTAAATTATCTACGATAAATAGAAATTATTAGACTACTGCTATTGTCTTAATTAAGCTAAAATAATCTAAACACATTGGTTTTTGTTAAAGTACAATCATTTGATTTTTAATAATTCGATCAAACGTCACTCACTACCTTTTTATTATACATATAAAAATATTTATATACATTTTATATTTATATATATTCCATACACAGACAATAGCTCTAAATACTACTCACAGTACTATACTCTATTCCATAAATACACAATATCAATACATACACAATAGTTCTAAGTAATACACAATACAACACTTTATTCTATACATATACAATAGCTCTAAAATACCATTAGATGTAATTATAACAACGTCTTCTCATATAGCTAACAAAAAAATAAACTTATCTGTTTTTAAAAAGACAATTGTTTAACTTGTGTAATTGACTTAATCTTGTAAATTACTTGTGTACATTATTTTTGTAATTTACTTGTGTAGTTATTTGTGTAATTTACTTGTTTAATTAGTGTAATTACTTGTGTCATTAACTTATGATTTTTTTCAATTTTTTATGATTTATTTTTTATGATTTTTATTTTGTTAATTTTTTGTTATGATTAAAGAACTTATGGAAAGCAACACAAAGAACAACCGTAATAAATATTTTTTCAACTAATAATGGAAAAAAAAACATGAGTGGAAAAAGTTTTTATTTCAGTAATTGTAATTACTAAAAAACGTAATTATTTTTTAAGTCTGAAAATTTTTCTTGAAGATAATACCCTTTCACGAATTAATTAGCTATCCAATTACCAGTCATTACAAAAATGATTCTATAACAGAAATTCTAGAATTCTTTTCCAAGCCACTTAAATAATTCATTGGTTAATTTAATTCCATAATATTCAGTGCAAAAAGAGATTTTGTTCTTTGAAAGCTTTATGATAAAAAATTTATCCTCAAATACAACTGGCTTTGTAATATAATAATATCCGAAATAAGTGAAGTTGAAATTTAAGAAATTGCAATTCATTTAAAAAGTTTCTAAATTGATAGTGAGCTTAACAATAAATAAAATTAAATTTATAATTCGTCAATAATCCCTTAATGATTAATAATAATTGCTATTTCTTTCATTTTGTCAAGATAGGATTTAATTTCTCCATAAATAAATAATTTTAAAATCCTCTCAAGTGTAAATCATAAACAAATTGTTATTTTATAATTTATTGGTCATAATTGTACATTTTATTACTTTTTTAATGCATAAATAAGATTTTGAAAGATCAAATGTATAATATCTTGATTTTTTTTGCATATTTGAGAAGAAAATATGTTTTAGATATCTAGCTGTAACAACTATAAAAATTTCCTTTTGTAAACTATCTCAAAAGCAAAAATATAATAAATGCTTTAACAAATATTTATGTCACATCGTTCTATATCTTTATTCATTTAAATGTAAAATACACTAAACATAATTTTTTTTATGTTAGCATGCTGCAATTTCAACAATAATGGTAATAAGGCAGCATATTTGCAAAGAATGTTGCATATTTACAAATAATTTACTTTTCAAATTAAAAATTTTTTTTTTTTAATTCAAATGATTTAATATCTTTTTTACTCTATTTGCTTTCCAATTGAAAACTTTTTCACGAGTAAATTTTCATATTGACAAAATTTCTCCCTATTTATTCGTTTCCTTTAATTTATCTGATTTATAAATTACTAAAATTTCTAACAAAAAATATCTAACGAATATTATAAATTACAAAGTGGGCTAAAAAATGAATCCGCGTTATCCAGAAATAATAAAAATAATAAAGAATGAGAGCTAGATCAAACTCTCAGCCTATTTTTTTTTTCTCAGCAGATTACTCATATTAAATTAATCAATTGGTGATCAGGCCATATTCTGTAAGATGAGAAAGTCAGAAGGTCAGTAGGTTCATGCGACTGCTTTAGGTTTATTATGTCATATGTTCAGGATACGGGCCTGAATAGCCGAGTGGCTGGCGCTCGGTACTACAGATTTCGGGTTCGAGGCCCGCCGGTGCCATGGATGTTTGTAGTGGTTCGGAATCCACTTTAAACCGTAGGTCCCGGTCTAATAGGATCGTAGAGCGCTGCGGGGGCATTGTTACTCCGCGTCCGTGGCTTATCTTCAAGTTACACGCGCCCTCTGGGTAATGCAAAGTGAGTAACTTCTTTGCAGCGCTTGCCTTAAGACATCAAAGACCAAGATGTCTAAGTGTTTGCCAGCTACATTAGAAAGAAAGAAAACAAAATGTTCAGGATACTTATTAAGTTAAATCATGTCAAACAACCCCAACAAGTATTCTAAAATCTTCAAAAAGGAACAAATATTTCATAATTAATAAGTAGCTCGACCAAATTTTATGAAAGATATTTCCAAACTGCATCGAACTTGTGCTGTTAAGCAACTTCCAGAAAGTGAAGATATCGTTTACATCGATATCTTCACGCAGAATAGGCCGCAGATGGATAGACCGAAGAAAACTCAACAAATGAAACTGAAGTTCTTTCCTCTCAACATCTATTGGAAAATATGGTTTTGAATAGGGAGAGACGGTGCCAGCAATCATTGCAGCTAAAAGACTTCTTATCCTTAGTCAAACATTTCTGTTGGTCTTTCTGTTCGACAGATAAGCTTTTATACAAAGCTTTTCTTAGAATAAAACCTTCGGTTTGTTGGAATTTATGTGCTTAATGTTCACTTTTGAATTGGAATGCTTTCTTCATCTCTTAAGTACAAAATAATTTCTTTATATTCCAAATGTTGTGTCTTTCATGTTATTTCTTTCGGAGTTATGCCAGAAATAAATATTAAATTGCTTAAATTTTGCACACCGGTGTTGACAGCCATCACAGGAGACCTACTGTTAAACGGAGATTGGTAATTCAAAATTTTCTATTATAGAAAGAAACATTTTATTATATTGCAACAATATCATGTTTACTATAAAGCGTTTGACAGAGATCTCTTTAAATATATTCCTACTATTAGCTCACACTCTCCTTATAAATATCTTGTTCAAATTCTCAGTCTTTAAATAACTACTTTTTATTTATACACTCAAGTTCAAATACATTTTTTTGAACTTGTAGGGGAGGACACTTGATGTGAATACAGTTTTTTCAAGTATTAATTCATTAATTAAATTTAATTAATTAATTTTAGTTTATTTTTAGATTTAAGTTGCATGTATCTAATAATAGATGGCGC